TCGTCAAGTTGCCCAGACGGGTCTTGAACCCGCGGGCTCAGGCAGTCCACTCACCTCGGCCTCCCAAAGTGTTGGGATTACAGGCTGAGCCACCGAGCCCAACCCAATCACTTTCTTATAGTATTCTGATAATTGTTCTGCGTCCACATATGAGTGAGTACATGTAGTACTCAGATCTTTATGTGATAAAACACTTGAATATATGTATGTATAAAATATATACACATATATATTTTAGTTGGAATCTCTACCACACCTGGATAATTTTTATTTAGTGTAGAGACAGGTCTCACCAAATTGCCTGGACTTGCCTTGAACCTACAGGTTCACACAGTCCTCTCACCTTGGCCTCCCAAAGTGCTGGGATTACAGCTTGAGTTACCAAGCCTGGCTTTTATTTTTTTTTGTAGGAGTCTCACTGTTTCCCATGGTTATAGAGCAATGCCACTCTCATGGCCACCGCCGCCTCAACTTACTTGTGAACCTACCACTTCAACCCTCCAAGTATCTGGAACCACAAGTGTGCACCACCATGCCTGGCCAATTTTTTTGTTTACTGGAGAGACGAGGGTTCACAAGTTACTGCGGATGGTTTGGAAACTCTATGCTCAGGAAATCCTGTCATCTCCTCCTCTCTGAGTGCTCGGATCATTGGCATAAGCCATGACATCCGACCTGAATGATTCTTAGTGATTATTATTTTGAGTTGCCCTATTCTTACATCTTATGAGGTTTTCTTTTGATTTGCCAAAAGGTGGGAAAGCCTGCCAAATTGGTCTACAGTGAAATGTAATTTTAAAATGTCTGAATGCTTCCTAAAAGCAGCCTATGGGAAATTTATCTATCAATGTCTTACCTGTGCTAGCTACCCTGCCTTATTTTGACATTTAATGCTCGCATTCACTGTTGTTTTAGTATAAGATTTGTCTTCTTCCAAGATAAAAATTTATAGAAAATACATTTAAGTTGATTAGGTGAGTGGTTTCTTTGCATTTTCCACACATTGCTGGTATTGAGGGGAAAATACAGAAATGATCCCTGTCCTCTGTGAAAGTGTAAACTGCTGAGGTGGACCATTGTCATGGGAATAATGCAAGACTGCAACAATGGAGAAAGCAGAAAGAAGTAAAGTTTAATAAACACCTTTCACAGATTGGAAAGGAGTTAGAGGCAAGTGAGGTGCGGAAGGGCCAAGAATTGGGTTTTAAAAAGGCCTTTGGGGAAAGGGGTTTTAAGCCCACAGGACTGTCCAGGACTGTGGGTCTTTGATGTAGACTGTAGCCACATGAGTTTTATATTTTGTTGGTTCCAGACATTAGCATCTCATGCCCTCAGGTGATGGGCTACATGGGAGGAGTCATAGGGAAGGGGTTTTTCAACAAGAGACTTGAGAGATGCTTGAAATCCACAAACTTCTTGACCAAAAAGTGGTCTTATAATTTACATAGCTTCAGCCAACCAAGAGGTGATCTTTGATTCCCCCCGACAAGGAACCTGAACGTTTCCTAGAGATTAGTATGTAAACTTTGAGGTGAAAGGTTAAGTTGTTGGGTTGCCCTGGTTTTGCATCTAATGGAGATTTACTGAGGAGACTAGGTAGACTGCCTCTTGGCCTGCAGAAAAATGTAATCTTAAAAGGTCTTAATGCCTCCTAAAACCTGCCTATTGGAAATTAACTATGTCTAACATGTGTTTGGTTCAAAGCATGTCAGTCTAAGGAAAAATCGCTATGCTGAGACAAAATGTGAACTAAGTCTATTCGAAGTTTCTTGGAGTCCTACTTTCAATCTGGATTAAGTTTCACTTGTGAAAGGAATAAAAAAATCACAAATTATAAAATATCTCAACTAGTGAGAAGGTGTAAGAACCCACATGAAGCCTCTCAGGCACATGGGAGAGCAAGTTCAGAGTCTCCTGAGAGTGTAGTCACCAGGCACTTCAGTTAGCAGGACGCAAAAGAGGACGTCCCAAGTCATAGAATGGCCTGACTTAACACTTGATTCAGGCTTGTCTGTGTGTCAGTGCCTCTCCTACCTGGGTTCATAACCTTTAACAAAAAATGGAATCCACTTATTTTAGCTCCAGTTATTCACCATAAAATATATTTTATCAATACAGTCTGAAAAGTTTTTTAAAAATTTTAGGCAAGATATAGATAGATGTCTGGAAAAAATTAAATATCTAATGTTGGGTGCAGTGGCCCATGCCTGTGATCCCAGCACTTTGGGAGGCTGAGGTGAGAGGACAGAGCCCAAGGATATGAGATTGCCCTGGGCTACTTGGTGAGACCTCATTTCTACAATAAATTTTAAAAAAATAACCAGGATCCAGCTGACAACTAGAATTATACAATAAGATAATTTGTAACACAGAAATATTCTTTAATACATTACTTGTGAGAAAAAAGAATGATATGAAATCCACTCAGCCTGTGTACACAGTATTTTTTTAAAATGATACAGCACAAATTTGGCATCAACACAGGCACATACAATTTTGAGTGCTATATTTACATCACAGAATAGATTGCATATATTGCTCAGAGGAAAATTCACAGTAGGTTGGAAGGTCCTCATCAAGTTTTAATGTGTACAAAATGAACTGAATATCTTCTTAAAATGGAAATTCTGATTCAGAAGACTTGGAATTCACCTGAGCTTCAGCACTTCAGTGGCATATTCACAGCTCATTGCAGCCTTGATCACCTGGCCTGAAGGATGCTGGGACAAATTGGTATCAGGTGCCAATGCACAGGTGAAACACAACATCCATGCTGAGATCTACAGCCCCCCCAATAGTATATTTTCATATCAATCTAATAATAAACATTTCTTAGGCAGAAATCCATGTACAAGTATCTCCCATGGTGTGTAATCTCAAAAACTGTATTTATATTGTTTGTTTTTAGCATCCTAAAGAGGAACTCTCTTCCAATAATTTTTTTTTGAGTTGGGGGTCTCACTCTATCACCCAGACTGGAGTGCAGTGGCCACTGCAGCCTCAGCCTGCTGGGCTCCAGCGATCCT